ACCTTGGTCCGAGAGTATAAAACGACCCGCATTTCTGCGCCCTTCTTAATCTTCCTCCCTCACCCACTCCTCTGTGCCAGTGTCTCCGCCCTCCAGATACCCTGCTCAACTAGATACAACACCTCAAGTCGTCTGAATCATCGCTAAGTCTCTGATCATTTGTTGTCTGCTCTTTCATGTTCTTCCGTTGTGGCTGCTGTCTCATGTGCTTGCGTTTGCCTGTTACCTTATCCTCCTTCATGTGTTATCGTTCTCACTATGCTGCTCGCCCATTTGTTCTCCTTTTCTTCATGTCTCGTCTCTACGCCACATTGTCCACCTGGTCCAAGCCACAAGTCTGTTCTCGACCTCTGGCGACCTTGTGCATCGGTCTACGACATCTACTGCTGCTGTGCTTGACTCGCATACTCTCTGGGCTTGTGCTGTGTGCTTCAGCGTGTGCTTCAGCTTGTCCACCACACCTTCTGTCTGCTCTGGCCTGTCTCCTCAAAGTCGGCCCCACGGCTCCATACTGTGGCGGTGTGCTGCGTCGAGGTAAGCCAGTCGCCACACACATCGCACACCGAGTCCTGACATTCGCCACAGTTTCAAGGCGGCGGCGAGTTCACATCAAGGAGGCTACATGCTAGGCAGTAGTCCTCGGCTGGGTCTGGCGTCTGCTTCCTGGGTCACCTGTCTCTCGCTGTTCTCGCTTCGTCTCTGTGCTCGCTACTCTGGGGCTGTTTTACGCTACCAGTATACACGACGGATCTGGGATTGGGCCACTGCTCTCTGTTACTGCTTGGCTGAGGGTGATTTACTTCTTGTGTGCTGCCGACATTCTTCCTCTGCTTCTTCATCTTCATTCTCACATCTTCGCTGTTTCGCTTTCTCCCGGATGTTCTGTGGGCGGTCGCTGTACTAGATCTTGGCTAACGCTCTCACAAATGCATGTTAGCCACGTGTGAATAGTGAGTGAGTGTTTCCTTCGTTATACATCTCCCAACTCGCCATTTTTAGGTATGATCAGCTCGTAGGATACAGGTGTGACCACCATCAATGCGAATAGATGGTGAGTTCGGCCACTTCTTCTGTACACTGATCCTGCCCATAGGCATTCGACTCCTGACTCGGCTCAAGCCCACGCGAGGCCGCAAGGTGTTGTTGATTGTTGCGCCTCTGTCGCTGATTACTCCATCCACAGCTTCTTTATTTCCTGATTCATTCAGGAACGCATCGACACACCGTTGTCAAATGAGCTAGCTTTGAAACTGGTTGCACCGCAAGACTGAATGTTTCCGCTCGCGGTCGCCGCCCCGTATGTCCTCACGTCCTTGCCGTCCGCGTACTTAATCGCCCCCCCTTCAGCTCTCGCCTAATGAAGGAGTTTGTTACTCGCAAGCTGCCGCCCCATGAAACGGTTGTGCGAACAGAGGTGAGTCCCCGAGGGAAGGACGAACATTTATGTTCGTCCTGGCGCAGACCTTTCCGTGGTCCTCGGGATAAGTACTCTCCGGCTCAAGAAGAGGTATCAGCGCTCAATACATGTATACTGTGTTGGATCCTGATACGCTGTCGGTAGGGGAAACCAACATGCGCCTCCAGTACATATCTCAATCGGTTACTATGCTACTGACCGTCGATCCACTGTAGACTCTGCCAGTGTGATTCGTAATATCTGCATATTGTAGCGAATCGCTGAGATTTTGATTGCTTGCCATGATGGTCGGCGCGCTCCTGATTTCTACTTACAGCTTCGCCGTGGGAAAAGCTCCGCCTTCAACTGGATGATGTATATGCATGTCCATGTATTCGCACAACATTCTGGAGTATCCACTGTCCGCCAGATAAAAGTGGCTGGACTTTCTCGCCTCGGTCTAATGGTGCATTGGAACGGTTTGGCATGCCTGTACGAAGACCGCTTAGACAGTGCGCCCACGGTGCCAGCAAACACGTTGTCTGATGCTCGGCATCGAGAACTCCAGGTCAATTGGGTTCTCTCCCCCACAGGCTCATCTACAGCAGGCGTGACCTTGAACACGTGGACCATCAAATTGGTCTTGGTTTAAAGATGTTTCTCTGCGAGGTCCCTTCCCCCGCAGACGTTAAGTTGCAGCCTTCTTCATGGAGGAAGCGGTCCCGGTTGAACCTTTTAGGCTCGGGTTAGACTTGAGGGTCATGCAACATCCCCCTGCCCCTTGGATATCCATATGTGAGCACCATTATCACGAAGCCCTATAGACGACTATTAAACTTTGTGACCTTGCCATGCTGGCAGGAGACAGGCATGGCACAGATGGGGCATAGTGATACGTGAGATACGCAGAGGCCCAATTGACGTTTGCTGCCGTCAGCAGCTTCAGGGCAGAATTTGAACATGCTCACTTAGCCAGTATCAGGCTGGGGTACGTCACCCTTCCCGTATTTGCAGTCTCATGCCGGACCCCGTCGAGAATTGATTATTATGTGGCAGTGGCGTTGGGCGCCTCGCCATGTCTCAGAACACGACCCGGCCTGTTGAGTGCAACGTGAAAGCGGCCGACATTGTACGCTTCAGAGTGTACAATGTCGGCATTGAAGGGGATACGAACATAACGGACAATCGCTAATATTGAGTAAAACAGGAGCTCTGTATAAACACATCATCGAGGCTACTGCAGTCTACCCACTGCTTTTTGCAAACAAAAAACGATGTTCATGTTTGACGCTTTACATAATATGTCAGAGCTATAAGCATGACGTCACGCAACATTCACGGACTCATCTCGTCCTTGATACACTCTCGTAGAAACGAGAGCTGATCCGTGAGAGAGATTCCTCACCCACGGTAGAGTCGATGGCTTCTACGACACGCTGATTGTCCCCGTTAACACGGATCCGCGTCCAGTATGTCAAGTATGGATTCGGCTGAAGATAAAGGCCGACTGCAAAGAGCTCCATCGACGGAATGCTTTCGGCGACGAGCCGGGGTAACGAATGCAACCTCTCTGGCTCCATGGCGATCCGCAGTGAAGTCTTATTCACAGAACAGGTTATGGTGTTTGTCTGAATCTTCAGGCAGGCGATACGAGCGGGACGAAGGAAACGTAACATATTCTCCTGAAACATCTACAAGTCAGAGATGGTTATTACAAACACAGGTACGACACACCGTCCATTGAATGAGTGTCACTTCTCCCAGATCTTCCAAGCGTAGATCTATCAATCTCACTTCAAGAGCACGGAGCCTCGGTAAGTTGCCAAGTAGCGTTTCCCAGAACGAAGGCGTGCACGTCCCTATGGTGAACGAGAGCCGGACAGGCGACAGCCTCTGTAGCATCGGCAAATACGATTCAACAAAGACTAAACGTATGCACAAATGGTGAACTTGGCACAGGGTCGGCCATGTGGTATAGGTCATACTCATATAATCAAGAGTAGGCCACCATGTATGTTCTTCATCGGCTCGATCAGAATCCGGATATGTGTCGCACAAAGTCATGCATAACTCCCGTACATTCGGAAATGTACGCACCAGTCCGGAGACATCTCGACAGTAGATGAGGTCAAGTCTTTTTATAGATGGTACGACGGGAATTCGGCTCCTTTGTGATTCTGGCCTCCGTCCCTCCCCTCGAGGAGAGGCGTCGCTGATCGCGAGTATTTGAAGGTTGCTCAGGTGTGTCAAACCCTCGAAAACATCCATAGGGTCCAAATCACCCTGTGACATTGACATGGAAAGCTTCCTGAGCTTGGGATTCACCTGAGCGAGCATGGAGAGTCCGTGATGGGTCAGCGAACCCTCCAACGACAGCTCGGACAGGCTGGAGAGAGATGCCACTCCGGGTCCGATGCGAGATTGTTGGCCTAATAGCTCTCGCGGAAGCGAGAGAGATCGTAGATTCGTTGTCTGCTCGAGAATATCCGCCACACAGGAGAACAAATGCATACGGCTCCTGCGACTAGTCGGCAGTTTGGAGAATGAAAGTCTGAGCGTCTGGACCCACTGCAAGGAATGAGTGGGCGCTTCCTCAAGCATATGCGCGTGGAAACGCAAGACTTGATCGCAGCTACGAAAGCGGACTGCTGAAAGAACCTGGCGCATGGCGATGCTACGGATACCCCGTGCGGTGCACGAAAGCTTCAGGGCATCCTCTTGCGAGAGAAATGAGACAATAGCCAGGAGAACATCGTCGTTGAGCGCCAAGAGAGAACATCCGCTGGCCCCTGTCGCTGATTCCTTTTCTGCTCTAGGTTGGCCCTATGAGCCCGTTTCATATGTTCCCAATCATGAGACATAGACTCACCGATCAGATAGAGAAGAAGCCATACCACAGGAGTGTATGACAGTCCACGCAAGAAGTCGCGTACTGTGGCGGATACGAATCGTCCTTGAACAACTTGTGGCTATAGCCTACTATAGCTGTTAGGTGGCGAATTGCTGCGTCTGCCGAAGACGGTCACAACGTTGTTACGTCACGTTACAAAGCTGTGCGACTCATTCCAAGACAAAAGATTGATAATAGATGCTCTCCCAGGACCCGCAGAGGTCTGGACGCGATTGCAGAAGGAACTCAAGATCTTGTCGGAGAGGCGTGTTGGAACTTAGGATTGTGGCGAGCGCATGCCATCGTATTTGGCATTGTTTGTAGTACCTCATAGACTTTGCGCCGCTCTCTCCGACAAGCGCGATATATCTTTGTCGATCATTTTCGCTGCGGGTCTTAGACGAATTTTCACAAGGCGGCCGATCTGACTGGCCTCGAAAACGACCATTGCTGTACTGTCAGACGCCAAAGAGTGTTAGATTTTGGGGCCTGCGGTGTCGAGCGGGCCGACCCGACGCCCCTGTGCCTAGCCGGGAGAATGATCATAGCACGATTGCCAAGTAAAATACATCGATCCTGTAGAGTACTTGTACCGTAGCGCGGCCGTACCTGGCCCCCACGCGTTTGTAACAATCCGCCCATTTTGCTCGCTCGCGTCCGCGTTCCCACTCCCCTCGTCTCGTCCTCAGGCGAAAGTCAACAAAGAGTAGGCTGGATTGTCACGTTTGCATCTGGAGTGGGCATACCTCCCCGTCTTCCAGGCCAGATCGAGTGTTTCAAACAGTGAGTGAACATTCAAGCAGGGTGATATATAGCATACAAGAGATTCATCTTTGAGGTCCTCGTCATAGATCTACCACGGACACCACTACCTGCCTTTGTTTGAGGGTTGGGTCAGTCCTCACCTTCGGAAGTAAAGGGACGTAACGAGTCTTCTGGACTTGTAGTCCCTTGGTCCCGAAGTAGCGTCCGCTCTCAAAACTCCAGCAGTCATTTGCGCGAGGAAAAATCGCCAGAGCGAGGACGTACTCCTGGAGCTCTCTGTCGACAGCAGGTCCAAATGATGGCAACTTCCTCATCCCGTCCAGAAACTTGTTCTCAACACCCTTGTGGTAGCTCGCCACCCACGCCATTGCGGCCTCCAAATCAATGTTGAATTGGTGCATGACGACGGTGAGGATGTTGTATTTGCCGTCTCCCGTTGCCTGCTTTCTGTTGTATGATGCGATATCCTATAGCGTGATCAGCGCGAGACCTTATCAAGATAAAATTGGGCTTGCATAGCCTAGAGCAATCAAGTCGGCAATGTTGTATGACAGCTCGGTGACAACGGGATGGTAGAATGCATCATCCGGTAAATTGAGCCCCAACTCGGCTGGGAAGTACGCCGGGCGCGCGCCGGCATTTTCCCTCCGTATTTTCAGGTAGCTGTCTATGGTGCGAATGTGGTTGTTGTCACGATCGGTGGCCTGTCCGACAACAGAGTTGAGCCAGTCGGTGAAAGCTTCTATGAAATGCTTCTGCGAGCTGGGTGTGGCGGTCTTTATTGCCCTCTCCCAAAACCTGTTTTGCGAGCACGTCGTCAGCGATGCATTCAAAATGGAATTGACATGCACATACTGTCTCGTAATCTCACCAAGACGACACTCTCCCTCCGGGCGCGCTTTGTGCGTATTGTTGATCGCGTCGGTGACCATATCGACCATGTCACGGACAATGGATGCGCTCTCGACATCAGTGTACTCGTCAATAACAAAGAAGACGTTCATCAAAGCACAGCCGGTGCGTAGGTGCTCTGGAAAATAGACAGGTCACATACTATAAAGTTAAGTGAATGCATAACTGACCCTTCGAGCCCCATGGGTATGCGAGAGAAGCAAGTCTTCCTAAGTATATCGCTGAGTCAATGCATCAACGAAACAATAGAGCACACGTACCCAAATCGCCTTTATCGAAAGCAATCTGCGACTGTTTTGTGAATGGTTTGAAGCCTTTGAACCATGCGTCCGACTCGGCCTTGACTTCCTCGTAGTGGGGGTTAATATATCTCGGCCAAGGCCAATTGGCCATGGTCTCTGGGAGGTAAATCATCTTCGGCTGGGCTGGCATCATGTTCGAGTCCGAGGTGACGATGGGGTCTGCTCCCGCCCTCGAGTTTTAAACTTAAGTACTTCCTGCCAGTACTATCGGCAATGCTCTGACGGGAGCGAGCTTAATTTAGAGCCTCTTGATATCGAAAATACTAACCAGAGCGCCTGGTACTCATAAAGAGTACATCGGGCTCGCTGGTATTTGGCATACCGTCCCCAAGTTAATTAAACCACCCAAAAGCCACGACCAATAAGCTTGGACTGCGCATTGAAACGCTGGGTCTGTTCCTGAATGGCTATATGGCTCTTGAGCTCTCGACTTCCATGTGTAGAGTCTTGGTAAGAGACATCAAACACATTCTCTGATGGCGAGGAGTTTGTCAATGAGCTGTCAGTCCCAGGGATACGATGCGCCTGTCAAAAAAAGGTCTTCGAGTTGCGATAAAGGTACGCCCATATCAAAGGCACTGGTCTTTTGCGCTGGGTTGTCTGAAATTGGGACTTTCCCTCACGATACGGCCGCCAGGCAATCCGTCATGTTATGTTAGAAGGAGAGACTATGCCAATTGTATTGTCACCTGTGGTACGGCCACGTATCGCTGCGCGTGTTGTCGAGGTACGTGGCCGAGACTAGGAACCCTCAGCAAACCATGATCCGACTTGCCTTATCCATGGGGAGACATCTCCTATTTCAAGGTCAAATGGTCAAGGCAACGAGATAGCAAGGTAAACACACCGTCGACACATGTTATGAATTGTAGACATTTTTCGGGCTGACGGCTGACACAGAGCCAGAAACCACGCCCTCAACTGGTGTGTGTCTTCTCCACGTAGCACATCCTGCATGGCCATGTATCAATTCTGTTTTATACCACATCGCCGAAACCCCTACTTTGCTCGCTCGCTCCTCAGAGTCCTCGATTATCTTGACTAAGAGAAAGGAATGTGACAGGAACAATACGTTGTCTGTTAAGGACTCTTGCTGTACTGCTGGCAATACTGGTACCCAGAGCACTTATCAGGAACGTGAGCAGTGCGGCAGATGCTGAGTTCAGTAGTATATATCGGGAAGTTCGCAGCGCCCGACTTGGCCGCTTACCCTCTCTGAATACCGAACCGACCTTTCACACTACTCAGGCCTTAGATGTCGTAAATTGTGTCGGCTGGAAACACTGACCAACGACCTGAGCTCGCATACTTCTGCCGTCACGATGCGTGCTATCATCATGATGCACCAAGACATCGGTTCAGCCGCTCCGGATTTCGCAGTGCACTGCAGTAATGGGAGGACACCTTCACAGTATCAAGATTATCCAGCGGCCAGTCGCTTGCGGCTCTTGCGTGATCCCCGATATAGAAGCGCGCACATATTGTATCCGTCCTTGCGTTCTGTTACCCGTCATGCCCCCGAATCCTCGTGTTTTCCACGTATGTCTGCGCTGATGTATGTACATAAATGACAGCTATTGACCATAGAATTTTCTCAGCCCTTACTAATGTCCTAGACCGCGCTAATTGTCAGGGTCACAATACCGAGCTCTCGCTAACATCACAACCTACTGGATGTTGGTTGATCTTCCATGTCTTTGATGACATTTATAGCAATTCAGTAGTGCGTGCCATGCCTCATGCTACCTCCCTCTACGCACATGATTGTCTGCATGACCCCACGTTGGCTTCTTCACATGTCTCCCTGGCTCGCTGCAGGACGGCTTCCTTCATTTCCAGCCGGAGATTATGCCTTCCCGTCACAGCCTGTGTTGGCGTGGAATTATCGCCCAGCGACCTTCGATCGCGCTCACTTCATATCAGAGCACATCAAGTACCTATCCTATTGAGAACATCCCGTAGCAAGCATGAGATCCTGCGGTTTGGCGCTTGCTTCCGCGTATAAGTGATGGTCATTTTGCAGGCTTCTAGCTATTCATTTCCCCCAAGTGCTACATAATGGCGCCCACGTATTCCGACGCCCCCGATTCAGATGATCCATCCGACAATGGCCAATGGCCCGCTGATGACATCGAAGGGCCCGATGACGACCTCGATAGTGGATTTGACAGTATGGCTTCCGACGACGACGGCGACACCGATGACGGGAGTGATTTCGGCGATGGAACCGACGGCTATGCCACGGCCTTGAGCGACGGCAGCGATGTGGACAAGTTGAGCAAACGACTTGCTTCGGTAAATTTCACCGCGGCGGCCCCCGTGGATCGCACTATGGCTATGGCTAAGCCGCAGAACCGTGGCAGACAACGGATGTGTGCTGTAAGTTTACTCTACAATCTAAGTAACAAAATGTCCGCTAATTCCCGCATAGGTATGTGGTATTCGTCCTGCATATAGCCAGAATGGAAAGAACTATCCCACCTGCGGAACGACTTGTGCGGCTAAGTACAAGCCTAGTGGAAATAGTGGAGGCGGTGGCCGGGGCGGCAACAATCCAGCTAAGATCGTGATTCTCTGCGTGGTTCGTCCATGATTAGCTCAGACACGCAAAGCTGTATTGATATGGTCAATTACAAGGTGTGCGGTAAGAAACCGGCATACAATCAAGGAGGGAAGAGCTATCCGACATGCGGCAATACTTGTGCTGGGATCTACAAGACTGGCACATCCACACGTTTATGCGTGGTGTGTAGCCCTCTCGTCTGAGTACTCATAGAACGGCTTCAATAAAGCTGATGTATCAATTCAGATATGTGGTGTCCGCCCTTCGTATAATAAGAATGGGAGCAGCTACCCTACGTGCGGCCTTACCTGTGCTGGAAAACACAAGATCGCCATGGGGGGCGGCCACGGTAGCGGTGGAGGGCATGGTACTAATCGGCTATGCGTCGTAAGTCACTTTTGATGGGGTTGACTACTAAAAAACAGAATTCGCGGCGTCGCTCACCTCATATTTAGATATGCCATCGCCGCCCGTGTTATCGTCGGGGATCTGTTGTATATCTCACCTGCGGCATGACCTGTCTCGATACTCTCTGTTCTGGTGGGGGCGACAACACGAAATGCAATGTGAGCATCCCAGTCTGATATCTCCCGGGTGTTCTCCGTTAACTGTGAATGTCAGTATTGCCACCGCCGGCCAAAGCTGCAGCCTCACAACCAGTGCGGGCGGATGTGCCGCGACCGGTCGCGCGTAGCCTGCCTCATGTGCCGCTCCCGTCCGAAGCTTGGGAAGTATCACTTCTGCGGGCGGACATGCAAAACGCTGGCCTTGAAAACGACCCCGAGGATCATGGAGATTCCCCAGGACCATGTCACATGGAAAATGGGTGCGTATCCTTGTGTAGCGCGCACCGGCATACATGCAAGATGACAGGTTGATGATTCTACTGTTCTTATAGTCGAAACGAAGTTCAACAACGCTTGGAAGCCGCCAAGTAACGTCACCAAGCCACAAATAAAGCACGTGTACAAGATCGTCGAGAGCGTAACGTTCACCAAGCCATACGACGCTTACAGGTGCGTTTCATAACGAATCTACAAGCTCTTTGGAGTGCACACAGCACGGTCCTCACTTTTCCGATGATAAATGCAGAAAGAGAGTTGGCAATGAATGCTTCCGCTATCACGGGACCACCCGTCTTTGTCAACTGGGGAACGCGGGACAGACGACGCTGTGTAACTCGCCTACATGTGCAATTTGTAATATCTTGAAGACGTCGTTCAACGTGGCCCTTGCGAACCCAAGCGGAGCGTGCGTCTTATTCCGCCTCCCCCATTATGCCGTCGCTGCTGACCCCTCGCTTTCCTTTTGGACAGCTTTGGAGCAGGTATATATACGTCCTCTGCATCAAACAAGTTCGTACAAATATACAAGATCGTACAACTCAATCCTAAGATTATTATTATTATACAGGGCATTCAGTTACAGCTCCAACGGCACTGGTGTCATGATTCTCAATAAAGTCGTCCTTGGACGCGTCCACAACGTCACTGCCTTCGCTGAGGTCACGTCTCTCCCTTCGGGCTGCAACTCCGTACGTATAGCTGACTTTATATGTGACGATCGAGGTCATGGGGACGCTAATTCGCGTGCCTGACACGATGACAGGTCGTCTTTGATAGGATGAACGGCCAGCTGAACGAAACTATCGTTTACGAGAACGACGCGATCAGGCCGGTGTTCTTGATTGTGTTCTGAGGTGCTTGAAGCGCGAGATGGCTTTCATACTCGTCTATTCCTGCGGTGTCCATAGCACGACCATGTATAATTGTGTTTTGAACAACATCTAGGCCACCTAAAATATCGCCAGGCCACATAGAACGCGAGTCCCTCATGCAGGCAGAAAAAGAACCACCTTGAAGTACAAATAATGAGTGCTTATGATTCTCTCATTTGCATTTGAAAAGAGCTGAATGCTCAAAACGTTGACAAAGTTACATAATGAGTACCCCAATTCCTTCGGAACCGCAATTGACCCAAAATAAAGCGCGAAGAACAGGAAGTGATCGCGCGCGCGATTGAGAATCAGCTGTATGCGCGCTCCGATATGGGACTGGATGCGCTTGATTGAGGTGCAAGGGACCATTTGCATTGGACGCGAGTCCAAGGCGAGTCTGTGTTCAAGTTGCTGCTGCACTTGAAATTTCCGATCACGATCATATCTTGATGATCGAGCTCTCTTCCGATCCTCCCCGCTGTGGTTGATTGTTTGTGGCCGCAGAGTCTCTGCGTACATCCAAAGTCTCAAGAGGCCTCGATAGAGAACTATCATGTGCGCGCTTTCAAGACGACTACGACTTCTCACGTGTGTCTAGCGAAGCTGAGAGTGGTTTACTAGTAGTGCAACAATGTTGGTCGTCTTTTCTGGATTTATGTAATGTGCACTTACTGGTCCAACGAGGAGTCACAGTGGCTCTGCTCGTCTTCTGACGACGTATATCTGTTTACGACGGCGACGGTTATGCGTTCTCCAAATCTAATTAGTTTAGGTAGGAAATCAACCATGGACAACCAAGTCTCAAGTGTGGCAAATGCAGGTTACGGGGTTTGCCGGCCCTAATGGGCCCTCCGAGAGGCACCGAAGTCAATTCCAACGACAAAACGTGCCATCACACGCGCTCACAACGCTGTAAAAGTGTACAGGCGCACATTGTCGCTGTCCTAACTCGGCCTCTCGCCGCCACTCGGACCCAGTTGGACCCATTGTTCTACGCATTCAGACTCCGCGATCCTCATGTCCTTGTTCCGTTCATAGACATCCATGGCGCTGCGCATCACCGCCATCAGTGGATAAACGGAGAACCGGAGGGCCAAGGCCCGCGACTTGCCGCCTCGTGGGTCGAACAGACCTTGGTCCGAGAGTATAAAACGACCCGCATTTCTGCGCCCTTCTTAATCTTCCTCCCTCACCCACTCCTCTGTGCCAGTGTCTCCGCCCTCCAGATACCCTGCTCAACTAGATACAACACCTCAAGTCGTCTGAATCATCGCTAAGTCTCTGATCATTTGTTGTCTGCTCTTTCATGTTCTTCCGTTGTGGCTGCTGTCTCATGTGCTTGCGTTTGCCTGTTACCTTATCCTCCTTCATGTGTTATCGTTCTCACTATGCTGCTCGCCCATTTGTTCTCCTTTTCTTCATGTCTCGTCTCTACGCCACATTGTCCACCTGGTCCAAGCCACAAGTCTGTTCTCGACCTCTGGCG